TTGTTAGACAATGACATCATTTGTTTACTTTTGAACATTGGCAAAAATCAAACTTTTCCCGTACTTTGTGCTCCATTTCCAGGTTCTTTTTATAGTAAAATTAATCAAAATCACCTCTATTTCTATAATATTGTTTCCATTCTATCAAATGAGACCAAGAAAACGAGAATACAACCACAAATACTATATGAAAATAGACCACGAAGTCGGCATTTTAATTAAAAAAAAAACGGTCGGCGTTTTTTTTTCTCATTATGCACTGCGAGCTCCAGGATTTTTTTTATATGGTGCACACTGAACACACAGACCCATTCTCTCACATGTGGGCCTACCAGCTTTCTCCTGCCTGATTTGAAGCCGCTAGAATTTATGAGTATACAGTATATACGTCAAACACGGTACCTCGTAAACGTATATATACGGCTGCGACAGTCAAAGGGTTAAGTGATGTGTTCCCCGTTACACTGGGCATTAAAAGCATTTACCTTTTTCAGCTTATTTTTCATGACATAGTGTGTGGCTTCTGTTTTCCCGAGGTGAAGTGATACAATGCTGTCTATTAACCTTTTGCTGCAGGATTTTAGTTCCAGTAATAGTACATTAGCTATATCTTGTTGGTCTTTACATGAGACTAGCAAAGTACTGTCGTCTGTATACAACAAACTTACACTTGACACTGATGGACATGTCATTCTCATGACAATAATAATAAGAGGCCCAGAATACTACCTTGCAGAACCACATATGCAGGAGTTCTGATTCTGTATTATTGATCTCAATGTGTTTCCTGTTGCTCAGGTAGGAGTTAAAGCAATCTACAGAGCATATGTCGATGGTTTGTAGTTTCCTACAATATAGTCAACAGTATTGAATGTCTAGAGTCACCATACCTGAGATTCCCTAATGACATTTGAGTTCTCAGGTAGTCCATCAGATTACCTTGGGAGGTATTGGTTCCGTAAGATCTGCGAGCCTAAGTAGGCAGATGCTGTGCTTACCTATAGAGGAACTTCAGTCTGGCATTTGCTTTCTTTACTACATTTTCCCTATCAATTTTTCTGACATGCATGGGTCAAAGGGGATTTCCAAATATTTCACTGAAGATACTTAAGTGATGGGTTCCCCATTACAATGGATATCAAAATTATTTACCCACTTCAGTATGTTTTTTATGCCAGAGTATGGCTTCTGTTTCCCCAAGATGTAATGATAGACGTTATATCTTATATCTTGTTCAACATGAGAGAAATCCATCAGATTACATTTACTAATAAAATACAAAAGGCAAATTTTTTTTTCTCCCTTTTTGCATCTTCATTATCTATCTATTCTTAAGGTTGAACTAAAAAAAAAAGTGTGCTGTTGCCTTTGGCTCACTTAGGGACTTTATTTCAATAGCATTTTATTTGTGTAGTGTAGAGGGTGTTTGATGCATGCTGATTTCAGTTCCAATAACCTTAAAATATTGAGGGATTATGGTTTTAGCAGTTTAGTAAATATTTTTTTTTTTATTATCACACTGGCCGATTCCCACCAAGGCAGGGTGGCCCGAAAAAGAAAAACTTTCACCATCATTCACTCCATCACTGTCTTGCCAGAAGGGTGCTTTACACTACAGTTTTTAAACTGCAACATTAACACCCCTCCTTCAGAGTGCAGGCACTGTACTTCCCATCTACAGGACTCAAGTCCGGCATGCCGGTTTCCCTGAACCCCTTCATAAATGTTACTTTGCTCACACTCCAACAGCACGTCAAGTATTAAAAACCATTTGCCTCCATTCACTCCTATCAAACACGCTCACGCATGCCTGCTGGAAGTCCAAGCCCCTCGCACACAAAACCTCCTTTACCCCCTCCCTCCAACCTTTCCTAGGCCGACCCCTTATTTAGGCACAGGTACACATAAATACAGTGGACCCTCAGATATTGGCTGTTCCGGATTTCGGCCACTTTTTTGGCCGAAATTCTATCCTGGATTTCACCCAGCAACTTGGAAATCGGCCGTATTGGATGCGTCCACCCGCCACACATTTTGTTATAATCCATTGTTTTTTGTGGTTGTTTACCGAATGCGACTGCGAAATAAGCTACTATGGGCCCAAAGAAACACGTTACATAGTATATAAAAACACGCAATGTTTATATGCAATGTATGTTTAATAATAATCACTCTTAGGCACATTAAATATCTTATTTTAGGTTAATACAGACATTTTCATTAATCTATGATATTTTCTTCAAAATTATATAAGAAACACGTTGCATAACATATGAACATGTAATGTTTATATGCTATCGAGTGGCGAGTCGGGTGGAGAGTAAACATTACGTTTCCTCTGATTCAGTTGGAGAAAACTGTGAATCTGGCGTCTGGCCCAGTCACCGCCCTTCATATGCAGTTGTTTACAATTCTCAGCATGAATTATTCATTACTTCTCCCTTTGTTTATGATGGCATCTAAAGGTAGTTATTAGAAACGATTAAACTCAGTGAACATGGTAATAATATGGGTGTGTAGTGTAGCCCAGGGGGCCACATACGTGTATGTACCTACATCTACCGCTGCCTACACTTGACTTTCTACAAATAAATACTACTCACCTCTTGCCCTACAACTGGAGGAGATAATAACTAGAACAGAGTATACTACTGACTCCGGCCATACAATAGAGCGGAAAAATAATGTAAGGGACCTGGGAGTAGTAATGTCTGAGGATCTCACTTTCAAGGATCACAACAGGGCCACGATCGCACGTGCAAAGAAAATGATAGGATGGATAATGAGAACTTTCAAAACGAGAGATGCCAAGCCCATGATGATCCTTTTCAAATCACTTGTTCTCTCTAGGCTGGAATACTGCTGTACATTAACATCTCCATACAAAGCAGGTGAAATCGCAGATCTAGAGAGTGTACAGAGATCCTTTACTGCACGTATAAGTTCTGTCAAGCACCTTAACTACTGGGAACGCTTGGAAGCACTTGACTTGTACTCGTTGGAACGCAGGAGGGAGAGATATATCATAATCTACACTTGGAAAATCTTGGAAGGAATGGTCCCAAATCTGCACACAGAAATCACTCCCTACGAAAGTAAAAGACTGGGCAGGCGATGCAAAATGCCGCCAATAAAAAGTAGGGGCGCCATTGGTACACTAAGAGAAAACACCATAAGTGTACGGGGCCCAAAACTGTTCAACAGCCTCCCATCAAGCATTAGGGGAATTGCCAATAAACCCCTGGCTGCCTTCAAGAGAGAGCTGGACTGATACCTAAAGTCAGTGCCGGATCAGCCGGGCTGTGGCTCGTACGTCGGACTGTGTGCGGCCAGCAGTAACAGCCTAGTTGATCAGGCCCTGATCCATCGGGAGGCCTGGTCATGGACCGGGCCGCGGGGGCGTCGATCCCCGGAATAACCTCCAGGTAACCTCCAAGTAAGTAAGTAACGAATGTACTGTGACAGTAAATGACAAAGAAGGGAAGTAACCCTAGAGAGGGTTTTGATACCTTATGGAGGGTGATTCCCAACTCCCTCTCCCCTTCTCGCTTTCAATACGCCAACAAGTCTCTTCAATAATGGTATGTAATATTCATTTATCATTAAAATTCGTGCTTTATATTTATTTCATTGTTTTCTGTATGTAAAACTATAGTTAATCTTTAAAAAATGTATTTTTTGTTAATATTTTTGGGGTGTCAAATGGATTAATTGGATTTACAATAATTCTCATGGGAAATGTTTCGGTTTTTGGCCTTTCCGGATTTAGGCCAACCTTCTGGAATGGATTATGGCCGATAACCGAGGGTCCACTGTACAATTATCATATAGTGTAAATTACCTAGGATAACAAATAAAGTCAAAGTGACTCATTTCCAGTGGGGTACTGAAGTATACCTGGAGGGTGTTCCAGGGGTCAATGCCCTCATGGTTCAGTCCATCATCATGCTTCACGGTGGATCAGAGCCTGATCAAACCAAGCTGTTACTGCTGGCCATATGCAAACTAACATACAACCCACAACCTAGTTATTCAGGTACTAATTTTAGGTCTCAGTCCAGCTCCCTCCTGAAGACAGTTAGTGGTCTATTGGTAATTCCCCTTATGTATGCTGGAAGGCAGTCGAACAGTCTTGGGCCACTGACATTTATTTTGTCTCTTAGTGCACTCGGTCCTGACCTATTTGTGCTTAACAATATTTTATTACATGTAAATTACATTAAACATATACTACATAAAAGAAGAAAAATACTGGTATTCTGTATTTGACTAAAAAACGATGAAACTTCGTTTAATATTACGAGAGAAATAAAAAAAAATAAGTTATCACATTCTCGCCACTAGTTTAATGCAGAGAATATCTGGTGATGAGGGTGATGGGCTGGTGTGAGAGTATATAATACTGAAATTAATACCAATAAGTAGGCGAAAACTTTGTTTTAATATATTACCCTGAGACACTTAAGAGTATCTTATAAGTAAGTTTATTCAGGTATACACAAATATAGTTACATAGAATTATCATACATAGCTTAAAGTTTTTTTTTGTACACAGGCAGGCATTAAGTACAATTATCATAGTGTAAATTACCTAGGAAAACTCAAAAAAGTCTGACAGAGTAATTTTATATATTTTATTGATTTGTTTTATGTCAAAAAAAGAATACATTCCAATAATGTTCTTATGCGTCCTTTGGCGTAATGAAGTGAAGCAAGAAGTCTGACACCGAGATTCACATCTTCAGTGTATATACCTTGAGAGATAACTTGAATCCCAGTTCTACTGCAAAAAATATTCTTCATACTAGCGCACAAGTAAATTACAGTCATAATGACCCCCGAGCCCTTCCCGTAGGCCTTAAAAACTAGCAAAAAATGAAGTGAGACGCCTAGACGCTAGTGATGCCAGCCAGCCTAGGGTCACAACCTCACCACTTGCACACAGTACAGACCCTTCAAGCTGCTATGTGAGTGTCTAAATACGATGAACTTACACTTGCCTTAATAGTAAGTGGCGAAGGGATGATGAAGAGCACAGTGGTGGAAGTTTATGTAAGACTGTACCCTTGTAGTCACCACTGCACCACTGACTGCTGCAACAGCTGATCCCTCACTCTCCTCTCACCCACCAGACTACTTTTTCCATGGCCTATTTACGCCATACGCGGCCTTCCCTGGGCCTTTTCTTGGGAATGATAAACACCATAGGTTCAATTAAACTGCAAGTATGGCTCTGAAGTTTACAAGAGAGCTCGAACGAGCTAAATAATGGGAATAACATAGAGTCTTATTAAATTAGTAGCTACCAACTCAGGCCAGACCAGAGTTTCAGCCTCTATCAAGGTCATAACTTTGTCTAACTTATTGGAAACCTGTATCACAAAACTAAATATTTTATATGATATACAGTGGTTAAGAAACTATTCATATAGTAGCGTGGAGCCAATATGGCAATTAGTCTTTTTACTAAATAAAAAAAAATAAAATTTTAGATTTAGTTTCCAAGACCCAGTAATTTTTTCCTTGTTTTTATATAATCTTTGGTCTGGTTCTGTGCAATCAGCTTCCCAGGTCACCTATACTTCTTCATTCTATCCATATATAGTTATTCTATGCACCACTATAATGACACTGGGTACAAAAGAATGCAAAGTCATGATGTCTTGCACATTATACCTTGCATATAGTGTATATATGTATATAAACCTCTTTAAGAAAGACTCACTGTCAGCTAAAAATTTGTATATCATGACACCCCATGACGTGTGTATCTCTCAGTGTGCATACATTAACTTCAATGTATTTCTTTTTTGTATGTATTAAAGTATATTTGATGTTTGCGTCTAGGCGAATTCCACTTTTAAATGGCCCCATGTTCATTAAGTTAGGTAAGATATATCAGGAAACAGGACAGGTACTTCCTTACGCGGATCTTAGTCACATGATGGCCCACACCTGGAGCTTTTGGTCATCTGACCGAGGCCTTCCACTGGCTTACTCCTCCACCCCTTTTAAAAATTTTGGTTATGATTATAATAATTTTTGATCGCCAATAATACATACACCACATTGTGACTACCCTGATTTACATGATATTTTAATAGATGAGAACAGGAGCTGTGTTCAACCAATCTATCACAATCGCTCCTTATAAGTTTAATTATAGATAACTAAAATTAATAAAATAATCTCATTGGGGCCCCATCCTTAAACCCATTATCTCTTATCTTTATATTAATGCCACAAAATACCGATAAGTTGGTGAAGACACATGGATAACGCATAGGTATTTAACCAAGCACGGTACACACACGATTATATATAATATATATATATATATATATATATATATATAATATATATATATATATATATATATATATATATATATATAATATATATATATTATATATATATATATATAAAATGGAGGGTTAAGATGAAGATGGTTAGGGAAAGCTTAATTAATGTTAGTATCGTAAGACACGAGAGAGAGAGAGAGAGAGAGAGAGAGAGAGAGATAGAGAGAGAGAGATGATCAACAAAATATGATGTAGTATTCACCTCAACTAAATCTAACATAGGTAAAATAGAATGTAAGAGCCTCCTATTTTTTTTTTGTCACTCACGAGTCACACCAGGAAGTGACAGCGGGGGCACATAATTTGATATATAATTTAAATACAAAAGTAGACACACGGAAAAGCCACTATTTAATTCAGGGAAGCGCTAAACCCGTCGTGCCTTAGTGATGGGAAGTAATCGGACTTGATTCGAGGAAGGGGAGTGTGTCACTATCACTGATGAATGATATAGTAGGCTTGATGTAGGGAAGGACTACCTGCATATCACTATTTTTTAACAATAATATTTTTTTTTACAGAACTTCTAAGCATAATCTTACAAAAAAATTTCCCTGGTCCATTAATATGCCAAGTATTATCAGAGACATTTTGAATGACGAGGAATTTTTACAACATATATATCAGAGCTTTTAAAATATATTGCATCATAATGATAACCGTACCACCACAGATAACACAGTGATAACCTTCCATCACTGCCTCTATTACATTCCTCGTATTAATTAAAAATAACCTTGGTCACCTATAACATGTCATATAATGTCAGGCTGGATTGTATCAACAAATTATGTAAGAAAGTTTATTTAGGTACAGGTACACAGAGATGCAGTTACACAAATTGTTATCGTATACTGGAGATGGTTTCGGGGGTCAACGCGCCCGCGGCCCGGTCTGTGACCAGGCTTCATGGTGGATCAAGGCCCTATCAATCAGGCTGTTACTGTTGGCCGTACGCAACCCGACGTACGCACCACAGCCCGGCTGGTCAGGTAGTGAGTTTAGGTGCATGTCCAGTGTCTTCTTGAAGACAGCCAGGGGTCTAGTAACATATGTGTAAATTACCTAGGATAACCCCCTCCCCCCAAAAAATAAGAAAGCGAGTTAATGTCATTGGGATCCTTTCTTCACCACTGTTATAAATTAGTGGGAGGTGCGCTAAACCCACGGGGGTTATGCATCACCTGATGGGTTGGAAGATAATGAACCCCGACAGAAGTATGGGGGGGGGGCAAGGATGCCTCAGATTTTCTGAATCAAAAGACTTAGCAGCAGCGAGGCAGCTGTCAAGGACATATGTACTCGGGGGAAGGGGGATGGGGTAGGGGTTGTGGTATCTTCAAGGTTAATATACCGTCATGTCACTCTTAACTACTCGAGTAACATAACTCGCTTTCTTGAAGTTAGAGATATATATATATATATATATATATATATATATATATATATATATATATATATATATATATATATATATATATATATATATATATATATATATATATATATTATATATAATATATATGCAGTGAAGCAGCAGACCGATTCGGGTACCACGGTCTTGTGTGCCGTAAATCCGAGGGAAAGATTGCAAGACATGAGGAGGTGAATAACATTATCAAGAGGAGCCTCACCACAGCCGGATGCCCAGCAGTAAGGGAGCCACCCCAGCTATGCAGATCTGATGGCATCCAGAAGCGTCCAGATGGTATCACCCTTCAAGCCTGGACAGATGGGAAGCAGATGGTGTGGGACTATACATGTGCATCCACCTTGGCTGATACCTATCTCCAATACACCAGGGAGGAAGGAGGGACAGCTGCCAGCTTCAGGGAGTCCCAAAAGTCTAGAAAATATGGAGAACTTGCCCATCATTATATGTTTGTTCCCACAGGCTCAGAGATCCTTGGCTCATGGGGAAAGAGTGCATCTAAATTCCTTAAGGAGATGGGAAAAAGACTCGTCAGAGTAACTAGGGATCCCAGGGTAGCTAGTTTTCTGTTCCAGCGGCTCAGTGCGGCTATTCAAAGGGGTAATGCCTGCTGTATTTTGGGCACACGTTCCAGTTCTGAGGAGCTGGATGAGATTTTCGCCTTATAATCGGTGATACACACGTAACAACATGTACCGTATATGCCACATTTATATCAACAATGTATCTCTTAAATCTTCTGTACCATATTACGTAATAAAATATTCCTATTGGTAAAAAAAAATATATGAAAAGATGGGGTGGTAGGGGAAGTGGAATGTTCAAACGACTTCAGGAAGAAATCCAAATATTCTTCCTTGAAGCTTTTTTATCCACTTCTCCGAGGCTGTGAGTCCCACATATATATATATATATATATATATATATATATATATATATATATATATATATATATATATATATATATATATATATATATATATATATATTTTGGTTAGTAGATCTATGAAGTTTCTTTAAGAATTTGCATTGTCTACAGTTCGTGGGGATAGGCGCTGGATCTCGACCCTTGCAAACACATATCGGTGAATACACACACACACACAACACACACACACACACACACACACACACACACACACACACACACACACACACACACACAAAAGACTAGTCCCGTAGCTAAGGGATATATCTTGACACTGGAGGATAGAAGGGATGTCTGGAGGGTAGAGGGAATAGGGGAAGGATATGATAACGAGGTAGAAAATAATGAGAGACATTGATAGGATGAACAGTGACAAAATGTTTCAGAGATAGGGAATAGGAACAAGAGGACAACTCGAAGATGAAAAGTCAGACGAGGTATAGGGAAATTAGGGAGTATTTCTTCAGTCTTAGAACTGTCAGGAAGTGGAATAACCTGGAGTGAAGTAGTAGAGACGGGATCCTTACATAGCTTTAAGAAGATGTACGATAAGGCTGTTGAAGCTAGGAGAGAGTGGACCTAGTAGCGACCAGCAAAGACGTGAGGCCAGAAGCTGTGAAACGAGCCCTGCAACCACATATAAGTGAGTACAGACATACACACACACACACACGGATGAAAAATATAGCGGAGTCAGGCTCCACGCATAGCTTTAGGAATAGGTATGATAGGTGAGAGAGCACAGAAGTAGCGTGTATCATTTATGATGAAAGCAAGTGTGGTCAAGCAAGTGCAGAACACTTCAGGGTGGCGTCACTCTCTCATGATAACACGAGCAGTGTACGCACGGCTTTGGTATCTTATACCTGGAGTTTACCTGGAGAGAGTTTCGGGGGTCAACGCCCCCGCGGCCCGGTCTGTGACCAGGCCTCCTGGTGGATCAGAGCCTGATCAACCAGGCTGTTGCTGCTGGCTGCACGCAAACCAACGTACGAGCCACAGCCCGGCTGATCCGGAACTGACTTTAGGTGCTTGTCCAGTGCCAGCTTGAAGACTGCCAGGGGTCTGTTGGTAATCCCCCTTATGTGTGCTGGGAGGCAGTTGAACAGTCTCGGGCCCCTGACACTTATTGTATGGTCTCTTAACGTGCTAGTGACACCCCTGCTTTTCATTGGGGGGATGGTGCATCGTCTGCCAAGTCTTTTGCTTTCGTAGTGAGTGATTTTCGTGTGCAAGTTCGGTACTAGTCCCTCTAGGATTTTCCAGGTGTATATAATCATGTATCTCTCCCTCCTGCGTTCCAGGGAATACAGGTTTAGGAACCTCAAGCGCTCCCAATAATTGAGGTGTTTTATCTCCGTTATGCGCGCCGTGAAAGTTCTCTGTACATTTTCTAGGTCGGCAATTTCACCTGCCTTGAAAGGTGCTGTTAGTGTGCAGCAATATTCCAGCCTAGATAGAACAAGTGACCTGAAGAGTGTCATCATGGGCTTGGC